GCAGCTGTAGAAGTACAGTGTTGTAAAAAGATTTTTTGAAAGAAAACCGTTTTATAGAATGCTGTGTTGTAGGAGGGTTCCCGTAATTTGTGAATCGCGTTATAGCGAAATCGTGTTAGGAGAGACCGTGGTCTTGAAGGGATAGCTGTATTACATTTATAATAATTGGAATATCTTATCAGCAGCCCTTAGCAACGCAATACGAAAAACGAGATATCTCGTCAGCGATCTTCAATGTGGTAACAAAACTATTTCTTACAACGCTGTATATTTAGCTTTTTGTTATTCGTCGTATTATTTATGGTTAGCAGAAGCTTTTGTCGTACAAAACACATACTCTTTATAGTTTCTAAGAAAATACCATCTTTGCGCTCATGCTTGCATTCCATATACATATACATATAATATTATTTTATATTATGGAGTTGTTACAATAAGTAACTAAATTTGTTTCTCTGTAAAATAAGAGGTTTTATTTTAACTGATGTTATTATTTACAATGTATACACATACAAAGTTCACCAATTACCTGTAAAATAAAAGAAACGACAATTAAAGTCAATTATTCGTCTCTCTTTACAACTCTAACTTATAACTGAATTAAAATAATTTATTCTTAATAACTTTTATTAACACGTGTTCTTTCTTTTGTTCTATTTATCTGTTTCTGACTTATCATTCTCCCATATCTTTGATTATTCGACGAGGCCCCTATCAGGTGACATAAAAGCGTGCGCAGAGCATATCAAGCACGCTAAATTTTGAAGAGAGTATATTCTCTTTACATACATATACATATAAAAATACGTATCATACAAACATACATATATAAACATACATATCATATGAAATACATATACATATACATGTATATATATAATACGCGTTATTCCTCTCATCATCTTTTATCATTTTTTTGAAGTGTTATTCTTCTTAATTTTTCTTTTTTTTCGAATGCCCACTTCGCATCTTCTCGAATGACAATTGATCTTTGGGAATTTCTTTCCCTAGTCACTAGGCGCGTTAAGGTGCGTTCTCCTTAACGCTAAGAACGGGCCGCGGAGAAAGGAATGGGCCAATGAGACTCCGTGTGGAGGAAAGAAACTTCCGATTTTGTTTTCGATCCCGTGGGACGAGATCTTATTTATCGGCGTGGTGTGCCACGTGCTACGTACAGATGATGCACAGAAAATACTTTTTACACAAAAGCGCGATGAGAAGAGTGCGACCAGCCGGTACGACGGATGAAGTATGATGTGGTTTTCTGCGTATGCACCGCCACGGCGATCCAGGCATCCGGAAGTAGAGAGAGCAACGGTCGCAGTGGTCACTCTTCCGCTCTGACCAATCAAAGGCGTGGTCAGGCCAATCAGATGCTCCTGCGGAACCGCATCACGAGGTGCTTGCGTATGTTAGTGCTGGCGGCCGAGAGGTGTCAGCACTTTTCCTGCGCGCGCTGCTACAGCTGCGCGNAGTGCTGGCGGCCGAGAGGTGTCAGCACTTTTCCTGCGCGCGCTGCTACAGCTGCGCGCTGTCGGCCGAGAGGTGTCGGCACTGCGCTGGTGCGAGACGCCACAGCAACTCCCTCCTCTAGACCGGCTGCCAGAGGCAGGCGAAAGGTAACTCTGCGGAGGATGTTAGGCCGATGCTTCTGTCTGGGCGCCCCGCTGCTGGGCTTGATGATGCCTGGTTCGGTGGAGGGCGGTGGCGAGACGATGAGAGGTCTGGACGCCGGAGGTGGGTCCTGAGTCACTGGCCGAGTTTCAGGCGCTAGTAGTGGTGAGGACGATGAAGTTGGCGACGGCGAAGGCAGTGCCGAAGACCGCGTCGTGGTGAGAGCCGGTGAAAGGTCCAGATCCTCTGGAGTCTGGGCAGATGTCGACAGCTCCGGAGCAGGCGAATGAGCGGGTGCGTCTGACGGATGGTCGTCCAAAGTGTCCCGCTATGCTGGTTTAAAGGCGTCTGTAGACACGGCCTTTTCAGCGCCGTTCACCAGGATGACATACACTTTGTCATTGATGCGACGGATGACTCGGTGTGGTCCTGTGTAAGGAGGTTCGAGCGGTTTTCTGACCGTGTCGACTCGCAGGAAAAYGTGCGAGCATGTTCGGAGGTCCCTGAAGAAGAACGGGCGGTGGCGCGAGTAGTCCGTAGCCGGTGTAGCACTTAGAGTCCTCATGAGTTCCCGTAGTCAGCCGACGAAGGTCGTCGGGTCGGCGGGTAACCTGCTGCTGGGCGTGAAGAAACCGCCGGGAATGCGAAGCGTTGTGCCGTAGACCATGTCTGCCGGCGTTGCTTGCAGGTCCTCTTTGTACGCGTTCCGTAGGCCGAGAAGCACAAGAGGAAGTGCGTCGGGCCAAGGAGCTTGAGCGCACATTAGCGCTGCCTTAAGTGTTCGATGGAACCTCTCTACCATGCCGTTGGCCTGAGGGTGATAAGGTGTGGTACGGATCCTGGTGGCTCTCGAGGCCTGAGCGAGTGCGGCGAAGAGTGCTGACTCGAATTGGGTACCCTGGTCCGAGGTGATGGTAAGCGGACATACCTTGTACGCAATCCAAGCCGATGTGAATGCCCTGGCGATGGTTTCCGCACGGATATCTTTGAGAGGAACAGCTACTGGCTATCTGGTGAACCGGTCGATGATTGTAAGGCAGTACCGGTATTCTCCTACCTGGGGCAGCGTGATGATGTCGACGTGCACGTGTTCGAAGCGACTTTCGGTGGTCTGGAAACGGAAAAGCTTGGCGCGGTTGTGTCGCGCGACCCTGGAGCGTTGGCACGGTAGGCAGGCGCGTGCCCATGCGGTGATGTCCTTACGTAGACCGGCTAGATGAACTGCTTCGATATATCCCGTACCGTAGCGCGGACATCCGGGTGAGCCAGACCATGAATGGCCTCGAAGGCGGCTGGGCGGAGCGAGCGGGGTAGGTATGGCCGTACTTGCCCGTCGTGTATGTCGCAGGTCACCTSGAATCCTTCGACGTTGAGGCGCTGAAGGTTGAGGGAGGTGCGTGCTGCGAGCGATAGGAGCTCGTCATCCCTGGCCTGTGCTGCGGCGATGGCCTCTGGGCTAAGTGCCGAAGGCAGGCTGATGGTGGCGCAGGTTGAGGTTGGCGGCGTCGGCGATGACGTAGTGGCGTTCGTTGGCCCATCCGGAGCTGGAGCGTCCTCCGTCGTCCGGGAGAGAGCATCGGCGACGACGTTGTCTGCGCCGTCCACGTGCTGGAACGTGATGTCGAACTGCAGCAGGAAGTCCAGCTGACGTTGTTGACGTGGTGAGGCCTTGTCCGAGGGTTGGTTTGCCGCGAAGGTGAGCGGACGATGGTCCGTTAATACTGTGAATGGACGACCCTCGAGGATACGCCGGAAGTGGTGAACTGCTAGGAAGACGGCTAAGAGCTCCCTGTCGTAGGTGCTGTAGCGAGCCTGCGTTGGTGACAACGTCTGCGAGAAGAAACCGACAGGCTGCTATTCTCCGTGGACCAATTGTAGGAGCGCGGCGCATACGGCCGTGCTGGATGCGTCGGTAGACAGGCGGAGAGGAGCAGTAGGCGACAGGAAGGCGGTTTCCACTGCTCCGGCAAGGCTGCGTCGGGCGTCCTCGAAGGCTCGATCTGCTGCGTCGTTCCAAACCAGCGGACGCCGGCTGCGCTTGGGAAGACCCCGAAGAAGCTGGTTGAGCGGCGCCTGGATGTGAGCAGCGTGCGGTAAGCTCCTTCTGAAGAAATTGATGACGCTTAGGAAGCGTCGCAGGCCTTTTGGTGTGGTGGGCTTCTGGTAGTTCCGGATGGCGTCAATCTTGCGCTCCGGAGGGCGGATGATGTTGGCGGAGACCTGGTAGCCCTGTATGGTGACGCTGGGCAGGCCAAGCTGGACCTTGTCCACCTTGTAGGATAGGCCGGCCTCCCGTAGACGGTCGAAAAGTATCCGTAGATGACGAAGGTGTTTTTCGTGCGAGGAGGACCGGATGAAGAGGTCGTCGATGTAGCTCCGGACGAAAGGTAGGTCCCGAAGTAAGGAGTCCATGAACCGCTGGAACGTCTGTGATGCGTTTCGAAGACCTAGCGGCATCCTCTGGAACTCGTACAGTCCGAACGGTGTCGTGACCGCTGTTTTCTCGATGTCTTCCTTGGCCATCGAAATCTGGAAATACGCCTCCTGGAGGTCCAGTACCGAAAAGACCGAGCAGCCGCCGCTATCCTCAAATAGGTCCTCGATGAAAGGAAGGGGATAGCGATCCGGAAGCGTGAYGGCATTGAGACGACGGAAGTCGCCCGTAGCTCGGAACCCGCCTGCAGGTTTTTCCACTATGTGCAGAGGGCTGGCCCAGGGGCTCGAAGAAGGCCGCATGACTCCCTGACGTAGGAGGCGGTCAAACGTGGCTTTCGCCGCCGCTAAGCGCTCGCCGGAGAGGCGGCGCGGTCCCTCGAAGACAGGCGGTCCGGTCGTTGTGATGCGATGCATCACTGAGGAGCCCTGAGGCGCTGCTCTTCTCTCAGAGGGCTGGGCGAGGTCTGCGTACTCTGCGAGCTGCTTGTCGTAGGCGGTGCGATGGTGGAGATCCGAGGGTCCCGCGATTGCGTCGACTCAGTGAACGGAAGCCTTCCGGTAGTGCATCGTCGATTCCTTGGAAGAGGCCGGGTCGATCAGTCGTTGCCTTCGAATATCTACCAGGAGGCCTGTTTGGTTAAGGAAGTCGGCTCCTAGGATGGGCACGGGAACGTCGGCGACGGTGAATACCCAGGGGAACTCGCGCTGAAGACCCAGGGTGAGCGTAAGTAGGCGTCGTCCGTAAGTGGGGATCGGTGACCCGTTATCCGCGACTAGCTGGAGACTGTCCTGGGACAACGGTCCGGAAACCAGGCGGCGCGGCAGGAGTGATACCACGGAGCCGCAGTCAATGAGCATCGTGTGTCTGAGCGAGCTCTCGTGGACGTGAAGGCGGAAGTCCGAGAAGGATCGAGCGGCGCCACCGTGTACCGCCAAGTTGTGCGGCGTCGCTACTCGTTTAACGCCCTGTCCTGTTGGTAGCTGCACGGTGGAGTGCAATTCAGGGCCCTCTCCTGGAATTTCTGATGGTAGCGACACCAGGGTGATCTTGCTGGCGCGGCGCCCCAGCAAGGGGTGACGGTAAGCTGGTGGAGTTGATCGGCCATCCGGTTGTTGGAGATGATCAGGTTGGCGAGCATCGCGTGCATCGCCGTGTGTTCCTTGTCCACGTTATCCCGCTGAGGTGGAGGCCTGGGAAGGGCGGTGCCTGGCGGAGAGAGATGGCATCCCCGTCGGGTGGCACAGACGCCCGGCACGACCTCGTAGACGCCGTCGACCCTGGCGGCGAGCTCGTCCAGGTCCATGGTCTGCAGGAGCCGCAGCAACTGGGAGATTTGCGGAGGCAGGAGGTCGAACCACCGGACCTTGATGGCGTCGTCACTGACGTTGTCGCCGGCGAGGTGGCGCATGTGGCGAAGAAGCYKAGACGGCGAGCGGTCGCCCAAAGTGAGGCCGGAGAACAGCTTCTGCAGCCGTCTCTCCATGGTGTCGCCCAAACGAGCGATGACGTGCTTCTTCAGCTGCTCGTATTTACCGGTATCGGGTGGCGTCCTCAGCACATCCTGGAGCTCCCCGACTGTGTCCTGGTTCAACTCCGCTAAGACTATGTAGTAGCGCTCGTCGTCCGAGTACTTTCTGAAGCAAGCGAAGATATCCTCTAGCTGCAGGAACCAAAGGTCCGGGCATCGTGAAGGGTGGATAGCGGTAAGGTCGGCGTCCGGCGTCTCTGGGCTGGCTGGCCTCAGCGTAGGTGCAGGCGGTGGTCAAGGCGTCGGAGGTCGGCGTAGTGGCAGGTGCCGTATTCTGGCGTTCGGTGTCGCGCTGGGAAGCCTCGGCGCGTGTGATGGGCATCTTCCTCTCTATTTTTCTTTTTAAAGGTGAAGAGGTGCCGGTGATGAAAGGAAAAGTTAGTACTCACGCAGATGATAGGTAGCGCCTGAGAACACGTGACGTTGATGAGCACGTGGTGATGAAGAGCACGTGGTGTTGAGAAGCCCGTGGTGTGAAGAGCACGTGGTGCTGCCGAAGATGGTCCTCGGGATCACGTCGGGGTCACCAATTTGGGAATTTCTTTCCCTAGTCACTAGGCGCGTTAAGGTGCGTTCTCCTTAACGCGAGGAACGGGCCGCGGAGAAAGGAATGGGCCAATGAGACTGCGTGTGGAGGAAAGAAACTTCCGATTTTGTTTTCGATCCCGTGGGACGAGATCTTATTTATCGGCGTGGTGTGCTACGTGCTACGTACAGATGATGCACAGAAAATACTTTTTACACAAAAGCGCGATGAGAAGAGTGCGACCAGCCGGTACGACGGATAAAGTAGAAGTGATGTGGTTTTCTGCGTATGCACCGCTCGGCGATCCAGGCATCCGGAAGTAGAGAGAGCAACGGTCGCAGTGGTCACTCTTCCGCTCTGACCAATCAAAGGCGTGGTCAGGCTAATCGGATGCTCCTGCGAAACCGCATCACGAGGTGCTTGCGTATGTTAGTGCTGGCGGCCGAGAGGTGTCAGCACTTTCCTGCGCGCGCTGCTACAGCTGCGCGCTGTCGGCCGAGAGGTGTCGGCACTGCGCTGGTGCGAGACGCCACAGATCGTATGATCGTTCTGCTTTTGGTCACGTACGCCATAAGCACGCAGCGCCGCACACGCCGCACACGCCGCACACGCCGCACACGCCGCACACGCACACACACAAATCATTCTCATGTACTCATACTCACCCTACCAGATCTCGACAGAAGAAAGAATAGTTTTCTTGGTTTTACTTTTACGGATATTGTTCGGAGCTATTATCGAAACATCTTGTATGTACGCTTTTAATAGTAATCGATCTTCATTATCTACGTCTCAAGTTTCTTTCTATTTATACGAAACAGAAAAAACTGCTTTTTTGTTAACTCTCGAATTTTTTTTATTCTTCCAAAAGTAAGTGTAAAACTTTTATAAATTTTTATAAAAAATAGAAGAAAAAAATATCAGAAAAAACGCCAGAATTACTTTAAAGTTGAACTAAAATTTAAAGTGTTCTTTCGACTCGTCAAAGAAAGACTCGTAGCATTGCGCTACCTACATTTCTAAATTTCTAGATATTTTTGACAGCATTTTGTTTAATAAGAATTAAAATTGAAAAGATACTTAAAAAAATATAAAAAAGTTTTTATTTATTATTATTTTTCTCTAATTTAAAGTTAATTTATAATAATAGTCAAAAATATTAGTTCAAATTAAACGAGTCTCTATTATTAATATTTTTTTACAGTATACGTATTTGTAATATTTTTTATTAATTTTTATAATAATATTCTTAAATTGACATTAAATAGAAATTTAAATATATGTAAATAAACATTTATATTTTTATTTTCTTTTCCATTTTCTGTCAAATATGTAAGGTGGTAAATTTAGTTCATGCGTGGTTGCCATTTTTCTTCTTTATGAATTTTTTTTATTGCATGCAAGCGTTTTAAAATAGTCCTTTTTTTTTAAGTAACACTAAACGCTTTCAAAAACTCTAAAATCGTTTGAACTGAATTCTCATTAAGTAATTTTTGCAATTCCAAATTTGTAAATTTTTTCAACTATTCGAAATGTACTTTGTTTTTCTTATCATGTAGACGATACAATTATTATTTAGTTCTTTCTTTATTTTATTTCGTATTTGAATACGCTATCGATCTTAGTGAAAGAATACTCCACTCAAAGAGATTAAGAGGAAACGATATTCCGTTGTTTAAAAAAAAAAAGACAAAGTTCCTTTATGCATGATTTCCACTACGATCTTTACCAAAAAAATAAGCTGTACCTATCAGCTGACTATGTGGGGTGGATCCTTCTGCTATTGGTCGATAATATTCATAATCTCCTTCCCTCCCCAAAGGGTTGATACTGTTTTATGATATAAATATGTGAAAGAAAGTAAGAAATCAAGGCTTAGTCTATCAGTTTTTAATCTGTATCAGTCTGTATATCTGTTTGTCTGTATATCCGTCTGTATCGGTTCCTTAGTCCTTAGTTTTCAGTTCAATAATTATACTTTCAGTCTGTTACATTCGTCTGCGTACTTTATCAGTCAGTTTATCAGTTTATCAGTCAGTCAGTCGGTCTTATATTCATAATTATTTGTATTCTGTATTTTTGTAACTACGTCACTTTCTGTAAACCTTTTGTAAATACCGCTCAACATCACATCATTACAATTTAATAAACTATCATATATTTGATCATCATCAGTTATATTTTTCTCTGTCTGAACCCTACAATCCAAATAACCCTTTTAAAAGCGTTTAAACAGAATATTAAGATTGAATGCCTCTCAACAATGTAATAGCTAATCTATAGATTCATTGATTTGCTCTTTTAAAGTGCGGAATCAAGAGTTTTCTTCATTTTACTATATTAAATCTTGCTATTTAATGAAACAAAAAAATAATCTTTAAATTACACCAGTGGTTCCCAAAGTGGGCGATGACGACCACAGGTGCACTTTGGGGGTGGGGGAAATGAACTACTACAAAGGAAAAAAATGTCATCAGAGGCCGACCCGCGCTGCTATACTATGCTACACAACAAGGCCGGTTTATCGATACTGTGTCAACAGTAATAAGATATCAGAAAGAAATTTTCTTATTTAGGCTTTTCTCTTTCTTATCTTCGCTCCTGGTGGGCCTGGTGAGCGATGAAGCGGTCCAGGGAGGCGATGACAAAATGAAAACTGGAATTTAAAGTGTGCGGGTGTGCTATTAAAATTAGAAATGAAACGTTGAAAAAACTAAATTTCGAGAGAATGAGTCGTATGCGAAGTTTTAAGAGTAAGATAATTGTAAGATTTATTTAATATAATATTATTACCATATATAATAAAGATCACCGGTATGGTCTCTGGGCGGAATAGCTGATAAAAAGTACACTTTTCCCAATTCAAGCAATAACAATGGAATGCTTAATCAGATAGTTATAGATAGACACCAAAATCGTAGCATGTTTATCAAAGGAAATATAATTCGTAGGAAACTAAGTAAATACGAATAATCCTTTTTTTAAAACTCAGGTATATATTTATTTTTGTTAGTATAGTTTTAAATTTCCCATTTTCATCTACATTCTTGTGCTGTATAACAAACATTTTAGGATAGACGAAATAAAGATATTACAAAAAACATATGGAAAATACTGGTGGACTGAACAAAGGTTCTAGTAAAATGCAATGAGAGATCTAATAGAAATTTTTGCGAGAAATACTTTTTCAACTACATAGCCTGCCGCACTTCTCTTTCTCTCTCTCTCTCTCTCTCTCTCTCTCTCGACCATTATTACATATAACATAATACATTAACATATCTGGTTTTTATTCTTTCGATCACAGACTTATCTTTTTAAATACTCTCGTCTAAATAAAGATCTGAACAATGATAAATCTAAAAAACGCATTGAATCGTATCGCTCTCTCAGCTTATCGAACTGTGTACACTACACAGTGACTACGAGTCTAAAATATAGACCCCGTGGTAAGCTCCACCGATTCACGCTGGGCGTTCAAAATCTTAAAAATGTTTTTGGTTTATTGAAAAATTACTATAAGTTTCTTAAATACTCAAATATTACAATTAATAATATAATTTTCTTATATGCATGAGTCAGTACATGTCTTTGAATATTTTTTATAAGAATATATAAAAATTAAATTTAATAGACATATTTTGTCTTTATGAATTAAATATATTTTATAAAGAAGCAAAATAAAAATTGTGACAGTAATTTACTTGCTTTTGAATGGAATTCGTCAGCTGCTTTTAATTTATTCTACAGTACTATCTAATTCTTTTTGTCCGATGTCTCTGGTAATCCTTTTTTTTTTTAAATATTTCAGACAATACAATTAATATATATTCTATGTACTTCATTATTATTTATTATAATATTTGCGAAATAAAGAATTTAATACTAATTTTTCGATAAAATAGAAACATTTTTGAATAGAAAAGATATGACATGTTGTAAAAAAAACTATAGAAATAAGTAATACCGCATTGATAATAAAGTTTATAAATATAGATCAATTTTCAACGGACCTTCCCTGTTTTTGTAGAATTTTGTTCTCATGAAAGGGAACCGACCTTGGAGTGTAGGTAGCTGAAAAAAACTAACATTTTCAAAACTCTATCCATCAAGATAGAATGCGGAATGCGGTATTCATAAATAGAAACGAAAATTGTAGAATGTCTGTCGATCGAAAGATACGCTATCGTAGTCTAAGTAAATATAATATTTTTTTTTTTTTTTGAAACTCAGACAGATGAATTTTTTCCTGTATACTTTTCACACTTTTCACACTTTCTGTGAATTCGAGATATCTTTATTATTGGTCTACACATAAGTATTTTTTTTGTAGCAACTAATACTTTAAGATGCTGTAAAAAGAAGGGAACAATTGTTGTTGTACTTTTTTCGTTTAATCGAGTATTGAAAAACAACGAATTTAAAATCT